GTCTAGTTCCCCGATCCTGGAAGCCTGGCTTGGTAGCGTCGGCTGACATGCCTTGGGATTGACTTCACCTGCTCTCTTTGGCAGCTCATGAGACTACCGTGACATCAACATGGACGCTTGATCCCTCAATCCCTCCGTGCTTGGGTCCGAAGATAATCAATCACCTACCTAATATCTACCGCTGAGCTGGAGCCTTCTTTTCAGAGCCGGGACCGTGCGTGTTCCAGGGCTGTTGATTGGGTCTTCTGGACTTCACAGGCAGCATGCTTCTCTCAACGCGCTGGAATAATGGGGAGAGGGAGGGGGTTTGGCCCAGCCCGGCTTGTCAGCAGCTAGGTTTCTCTGAATGCCGACGCCCATTGGGACATGAACGAATTTGAATTCCCTAATCCGTTTGACCTGTCCCCGCCTTTGCCCACTGATCACCCTCGATGCTACCTTACGACAACCACCTTCGCTTTCGACGAACTCGTCCCATCCACCATGGATTCCCAAGAGTGTTCGCCTACATCTTAATCCTGGACTCGGTCATCCCCCGCCCCCTCTCCAGTGCTTATTCGGAAGAGTGGATATGACTGGATTGAGGCATTGGAAAATGTTATAATACGGTCGGGAGCGCCTAGCCACGGAAGATTTTTTGGAGTTTGCTGTTCAGAGTAGTGAGGTTGGCTACATGAGAATATAATTACCTGAAACATATCCACTTCTTAGTTCCTATTGCCGCTGCCTCTCCAGGCCCTGGCATACCAACTTGATCACTATGATCCTCATCCAAACAATTTGGGGCTTCATCATACTGGCGCTGAGCGCTGCCGTTGCAGCGCAGAAGCCCAGTGTCCCTCTCAGCTCGACCAGTCGCTGGATCGTTGACACGGCTGGAAAGCGAGTTAAGCTGCGATGTATCAACTGGCCTGGCCATATGGAGACCAACATTCCTGAAGGTCTCCACAGACAGACAGTCGACTATATCGCTGGATGGATCGCCCAGGAGGGCTTCAATTGCGTGCGCTTGACCTTCTCAATCGACATGGCCTTGAACCCAAATCTCCCCGTCGAGGACTCTTTCCGACATGGAGCTGCCGAGGGTGGCGTGGACGAAGCGGCTGTGATGGCCCTCTACAGCCAGGCTGTCGAGAAGAATCCATTCTTGAGCTCATCGACCGTTCTGGATGTCTTTGGCAAAGTTCAGGATGCCCTGTGGGAGAAGGGTGTCATGACGATTCTTGACAACCACGTCAGCAAGGCCAAGTGGTGCTGCGACCTCGACGATGGAAATGGATGGTGGAAGGATGCCCCGGGCTATGTCGATGTCAACAGCAAGTACTTTGACAGCCAGAACTGGCTTGATGGCCTCAAGGCCATGGCTCAGTGGTCAGCAAATAGGCAAGGAATTGTCGGAATCTCTCTCCGCAATGAGCTGCGCGCTCACGTCACCCAGATACCTTGGGGCGGCGAGACATGGTTCGACAAGATGCCCCAGGCCGCTGATGTTGTCCATGCGGCCAACCCGAATGTATTGATCATTATCGGTGGTCTTGATGGTGGTACGAACCTCGGTGCTCTTCGGGACGGCAGCATGCCTACGGACCGGTGGCCGGGCAAGAATGTTTGGGAGGCTCACGCCTACAGTTTTACCGTGACCCAGCCGGACTTTGGAAGCTGTACCATTAGGAAGACGATCTATGGTTTCTTCTTCGGCTTCGTCCTCGAACAGAATAAGGCGACGACAGGACCACTGTTCCTCTCCGAGTTTGGTGTGGGGATGGAAGGCGGTCCTAATGATGGACTGAGTGACAAAGACTCTTCGTACCTCTCTTGTCTTGTTGGGTACATGGAGAACAATGACGCTGATTGGGGAATGTGGAGTATTGCTGGATCATACTATATAAGACAAGGAAATGTGGACGTGATTGATACGTGGGGTGCGTTGGATAGTTCCTGGAGTGGCTGGAGGAATGATAAATTCAAGGGCAAGCTAGGGAAGATGTTCCAGGTCACCCAAGGACCTTGAGACAGAGAGTAGTTTGACACTAATGCCTGTGACCTCTGGTGCGCCTGGGCTCTGAATAGCTGACAGCGCTAACGATGTTCTATTATGCTCCTTCAGGTTTATCGAAGTTGAATAAATCTTCATCAAATCCTCCCTGGCTCATTGTGGTATCAAAAGTTCCATCATGGTTGGTCATGAGCTCGTTAAATGAATTTCCCCCATCCATGCTGAAATCGAAATCTGTCCCGTCAGCGCCGCTGAAGTCCATGTCAAGGAGGTTGTCCAAGGCCTCGTCTGTGACATTATTGTCTCCATTCATCTGGTCCGAAATCCCTGAAGTGTCTCCTTGAACTGCAAGAAGGTCAGAGCCCCCCGGGTTGTTGGTAGCAGGTTGGGGAACGAGTCCTTCAAGGGATAGAGAACCATTGGCGCCGTCAGGTGCGGCAAATGAGGTCAAATCGAAATGCTCCCCGGTGCTCGTATCGTTTTGTTGCCCGTTTTCGGGCTGTGCAAGGGCGAACTCCATATTTGTAAAATGCAATTCTGCGTTGGGTGCCCCTGATACCCCTGACTCTGTGGTTGGACCTTTTGGCTGTTGTTCTAAGTCTGCCTGTGTCATCGCTGGCATAGGCGCCGCTGGCGCTGGCTCGATTTTTGGTTCAACCTCGACGGAGGGTATAGGTGCCTGTGAAGAGAGGCCTTCTGGTCCGGAGGCACTTGTCCCAGAAATATCCAGCCCCATGTCCGGGAACGGAGCGATGGTCTTTTTGGTGGAACTGGCCCCTTCATCCTCAGGCTCGGTCTTAGGAGCTGGTGGAGGAGACGAGTCAAGATCAATCACCATTGGGGATTTGGATTGGGCTTCAACCGATTGCGGTAGTTCAACTTCCATCTTGCTCTCCCGTAACCGGGAGATATCACGTTGCATCACCCCCTTGGCTCTGATCTAACAATACATATTAGGGAGACGACCAAAGTAGAGAAGCAGGGGCTGGAGAGTTCTTCTTACAATCTCCTGTTCCAAGTCATCTAGGGCAGAGTGGAAAGTGCGCATCGTCTCTGGTATTTTGTACCGGGCAGAATTATTAGCTGCAGACACACTTCCAGGTGCTTCCTTGCGTGAGGCACGAAGAGCCTTGCCAGTTTGTACCAGCTGGGATTTGCGCAGGTCAGCCAAGTCCCACAAGATGAACAAAATATGAGGCGATTCATATCTTACCGCATCATTGAGCATGATCTGGAGAACATCAAGTGATGTCTTCGATTCTAGTGATGGAGCCATGATGGCCGGGTTGGGTAAGGATAATGAAATCTTGTGATCTGCGGCAGTCGGCAATTACTCCGGGCGAAAATTCTTTCTAACTTGGAACGGATAGATAAGTAGAAGGGTGGAAATTAAGCGAAGTTCGAGGAGGATAGCGGGTATCAACAGCGACGGGTGCTATTCCTTTGTGGTGTTTATCTCAGAGAGGTTGGTCAAGGCCAAGGGATTGCGGATCACGGACGACGAAATTGAGAATAGCCCAGCCCAGCCCAGCCCAAGGAATCAATACAGGGAGGGTGCTTCCGACGGGTGCATTGAACAGAGCGCTGGGGTGAGGTGGGCAAGCTATGTAAGGCGCTAGCAGCCACCGGCCAGTAGGCGCCCGGGCGGCTTTTAGAGGTGGTTCGCCACAGACGCGTAGCCCCACACTGCCTCCTCAGGCACAGCTTAGCTAATCACACGAGCGTCAGGAGAGTGGGTAATCATTCGTGGATAGGATCAGTGGGGCAAGCTCACACACAGTTGCTGAAGAACCTAACCCAATGTCCCGTTGGTGCTACGCCATTAGGCTCATGTGTCAATCACATCTGTGCTGCTTCATATTGAGGAAAAGCTCGAGGGAAGCCGCTGGACAGGGCTTGAGATGCGGCACTTGGCGACTCGTCCTTTGTTCAGGCAACAGTTAATGTCAAACACTAGGAGAGTGGCGACTCTCCTGAAGCATAAAACAACCACTTCTCATCTCCCTCCTGAACCGTGCTTGGCTACTATACATAGGCACGGGGAACTATAAGCAGATCCATATGGAAAGCAACGCATGATTGTCCCCATTCAGGGCAATTGAGAGTAACCGTCATTGGCGTCCAAGTGCTGGGCTTGAGCTGGTCTGCTGGCTGGATGCAAGCGACTGAATTGCTGCATGCACTGGGCTCCAGCGCAAACACACACTGACGGGGATCGACCGACGGCCACCAGTTCATGAGGTGGACAGCTCATCAGGTAGACGCAGTGGCTCTCCAGCACCTTACGTACATGGTACCTCTGTTCTTAGTGGACGGGCGAGGCTGTGGGGACGCCAGCAAGTTAAATGACTGGCTGCATCTGGCCAATCACAGCCCCGGGAGGAGGGCTCGCCTGTCGGCGGGCGCCAGGTCCCCTCATCAATCACCTTTCCACCCGTCCCTCGACCTTGGAAGTTTTGATCCCCCATCATCGACACAAGTTCAAGTGGTTGCTGCGATTCCAGGACCTGGTCCTCGCGTGCCCCGTTTCCTTTCATCGTTTTTTCTGCTTTGCTGTGTCTTCTTCGTTGGGTTCTCTTCTCATCATCTCATCTCATCTCATCTCTAGCAGTCATCTGTCTTTGTCTTGAGTTTCTACCCCTACTGAGCCTCGGGAGGTTTGGCTTGCATACCATACCAGCTTCACTCTTCGCGCCCAGTTTGTAATCGAACAGGTCCTCGATTTGCACGACGTAAACGCCTTGCGAACGCCTATCAATTTCCCTACAACAAGTCCCTTCTCCTGGTATCTTATCTGCTTACTGGATCCATTTCCCTTCTCCTGCAACCACCTGTCGTCGGGTCAGTTCCACACGCCCGCCTCATCGGCATTTTACAAGACTTCAGACCCCGCATCGTCGACTGGTTTGGCTTGCCACTTTTTTTTGGCCAAGGCGGAACAGCACAAACAAGCTTTTCTATAACATCCCATTTTATCTTCTCTGTGGTATCTGTTATCTTCGAAATGGCTGATTCAGGAGCTCCTGCCAACGCCCCCCAGCTGCCACCTCAGCAGCCCAGTGCTGGCGCGCCAGGCTACGATGGCCCCCAGAACGGCCAGCCGATGGCTCCTCCTCCCCTCCACATCCCGCAGAACACGAACCCAATCCCGACCGCCATCACCTCACCGAGGTCCGCCGTGGACAAGGGTGGCATCATGTCCCCGACCAGTGCCGGGGGCTTCCGTCGAGCAGCACCCGAGCCTAATAAGAGGGCCCTCTACGTCGGCGGTTTGGACCAGCGGGTGACGGAGGATGTTCTGCGTCAGATATTTGAGACCACTGGTCATGTCCAAAACGTCAAGATCATCCCTGACAAGAATGTACGCTGAACCAGACATGCCACGTGCTCCTAGGAGTATGCTAATTGATGATGACTACAGGCCAAAGGTTTCAACTACGGTTTTGTTGAATACGATGATCCTGGTGCCGCAGAGCGTGCTATGCAGACCCTCAATGGCCGACGGGTCCACCAATCGGTCCGTTAGAAGCTTCCCCTTTGCGATACTGTTGCGAAATCCTCCTAACATCAACAGCAGGAAATCCGCGTCAACTGGGCCTATCAGTCCAACACAACGAGCAAGGAGGACACCTCCGGGCACTTCCACATCTTTGTTGGGGATTTGTCAAATGAGGTCAATGACGAGCTGCTTTTACAGGCCTTCGCTGCCTTTGGTACTGTTTCGGAAGCCCGAGTCATGTGGGATATGAAGACGGGCAGGTCTCGAGGTTACGGCTTCGTCGCTTACCGTGACCGCTCAGATGCAGAGAAGGCTTTGAGCTCGATGGATGGCGAATGGCTTGGTTCGAGGGCGATTCGCTGCAACTGGGCCAACCAAAAGGGGCAGCCTTCTATGGCTCAGCAACAGGCGATGTCAGCTATGGGCCTGACTCCCACCACACCCTATGGCCATCACCAGTTTCCGTCTCACGGCATGGCGAGCTATGAAGTCATCTTGACACAGACACCAAACTGGCAGACAACATGTTACGTTGGAAACCTGACGCCTTACACCACCCCTCATGATGTGGTGCCCCTCTTCCAGAACTTTGGTTTTGTGCAGGAATCTCGTTTCCACGCAGACAGGGGATTCGCGTTCATCAAGATGGACACGCATGAAAATGCGGCTATGGCCATTTGCCAGATGAACGGCTACAATGTTAATGGACGACCCTTGAAGTGCAGCGTAGGTTGACTCCGAGCAAAACTTGAGTTACGAAACCTAGCCAGCTAACAACCCACCAGTGGGGTAAGGATAAGACGCCCAATTCTCAGAACTTCGACCCGGCCCAGCCATTTAGCCCCCAGAGCGCCCAAACACCTGGTGGCTTTCCCGGCACACCGACATACTACCCCCAGTACGGTGGTAAGTTGCTCCCTATGATTTGCTTGAAAGTGAGGGATACTGATAATGAGGCTGCTCGCTTTTAGCCCAATACGGCGGCCAGCAAGGAAACTTCGCTGCTCCCCAAACTGGCTCGCCTGCCGGGTTCCCTGGGTCCCCAATGGGCTACAATGCTCCCCAGAGTGCCGGTGGTTTTGGTCGTGGTCAACAGCCCCCCCAAGGCCAGTGGACTCAGCCCCCTCCAGGTCAGAACTTCAACAACGGATTCGGTGGCTATCAATCATAGGAAAAGGAAGCATCGAATAGGCCCTCAAAGCCGAGACGCCAAGTTCTCAGCAGGATATAAGGCCAGGGTGATTGGAAGCGTGTTACGATTGAAACAGCCGTCCCCCCTTCTCTTTCTTTTTTGACAAATCTATGACTGCTTTTCTCTCTCTCTCTCTCTCTGTGTTTCACTGTTCTTGGTCATTTCGCTCGGGTTTCCAGTATTTCGTCCGGGCGGTGTTTCCTACGCTCCCATCAACAGTATTTCTTTCTATTCAATCTCTCTTCTCAGTGATTCCAATTTTGTCTTGTTTCTGGGTTTCTTGCCTTGGCGCAGCTGTGCATCTCTGGTACGTTCTTTAGTCGGATTATTGATTTGGACGTTGCACAACTGGAGTATGAGCCATAAGATACCCTTTCTCTTTTTTCCAGTCTGGTTGAGTCTTCCTGTTTTTTGCCTGTTTTTAGGCTCCTAACGAGGTCACGACTTTGCATTCACGAAGGGAAATCGGCACTTGATGCTTGGATTCTTCGTCTCACATATCTGGGTGGAGGCGGATGTGCGGTCGGTGTGGTCGGGGTGGATTCTGGGAGAGAAAAGGAACCCTGTGTTCGTATTCATGACATGGTGACTGGTAAACCAAGGATAGTTTTTGACGGCAAAGAAGAACTTTGCGACGAGAGGTGAAAAGAACGTGTATGGGAACCAGACATTCCGATTAGAGGATACCTAGACTTGCCGTGTTGTCATTCTTTAGACATGATGCTGTATCATATCATTGTAAGCTATCCACGTCGCAATCAACGATATGACAGTTGGAGGGACGATGAATGTCGAGATGGAAAGTTTGTTTGAGCTGGGCGGATCATGCTAGCTTCGAGGATGGAAACAAGCTCTCCTACATGCTGTGTGTTCGCTATGATATACGTGCCATTTGCGACATGTTGAAAATGAAACTAGTAACAATACTATAGTTTTGGTTGGTATATATCTATGCGTATAAGTAGGTATAAGCGGTTGGACCAACTGACGTCCTTCTCCACCCACCACTCGCTGCAAGCCACGTTGACTGGTGTCAGAATGAGCCGATCAGAGGGTGAGGGAGCGCGAGTAGCAATGATTTTGCCACTGACCAGTGCTTGCTGGATGATGTGATTGGAAACTTGTTGTTTTTGAAGGGGTTATCACATCATAGGCACACGCGGCCTACTCGTTACTGCGGCCGTCTGCCAGCTCAGGAATAGGTAATACTGGGAAAGGAGGGGAAGGATATGACGACTAATAATTTACATTCCGAGCCCAATGAGCCTGCTAGGTAAGAGGGCCCCAAAGGACGGTGGTGGCACCCTGCTATGATTGGCTGCTGATTAGTAGATGCTTGGATTTTGCCAAGTTTGTTGTGAAGCTGTGCGTGCTCAACGGCCCGCAGTCATCATTCCAGGGTTGAATGAAGAAGGGATACTGAGACGGATAGTAAGGGGGTGAACCCGAGTCAGATGTGATCGGGCAAACACATAGGCATTTTCTAATGAACCCAATCGCCCAAGAATTGGAGGGGGGATGGTAGGCAGGCGGTAGTAATAATGGGGATAATTAAACCGTTCGCCCAAGGAGCGAGACACGGAAAGTATGCCCACATTACTAATAAGGCTGGCTGTTGTGACGACAGTTTCCTTGCTTGCTGCGTCCTTGACAAGCCTTCCCCACCCCAGCAGGGAGTCAGAGCTGGAGGATGGAGTCGCAGCAGCCGCGCACCACCTCATCCGGCTCCACTGTGTGTTACAGGTGCAGGGGTTGGCGGATCTGCAGCAGCTGACAGCCTCCCTGCCAACAAGCATCGGCGCACAGCTCTTGGGAGCTCAAGGTGTCACAGCGGCTTTATTGTGTGGAGGGAATCACACAATGGCTCGATCAGTAGTATCATGCACGTCTTGTATGTCTAGAAATAACCGACGCCCCATCTTCGTTTGGTATCGTTGTGCTGCTGAGCTGTTGCTACATAGGTTGACTTCGCTTCATTTGCTCCAGCCACTCACCAACCCCTGCGATCCCTCAAGGCAGGCTGTATTTACCTACACTGCAAGTAATTAGGTACCTACCTATCCGAGGTAGGTACTCGCTCAGTGGCCTTATCTTGTAGGCGGCACACTCACACCCTGGGACTGCGGAGAAGCTCTCTGTGGGCAGGCCGAAAAACACGGAGTGATTTTTGTAGTGGCGGAGAGCGCGCGCACCGTCGACGCCACTGGTTGTCCCCGAGCTGCCGTGTTGTGATGTGTTGGCCTTGGAGTATTTGGAATTTCTAGCACAAACTTAGTTCCCCCTCTCAATTTTCCCTTTCCCTCCCTTTATGCTTTCGTGTCTGAAGCAGACGCTGTCTAGACCCAAGTCAAACAAACCAATCCGCGTTATGTGCTGCTCTCCTGCCCCTCCCACTAATAATCCACTATGACCACAGGTACCTGGTTAGCTACTTTAGGTACCCTAGCGCACTAGGCACCGCCGCCGTAAAGAACGGACAGGTGCTCTGACTGAGTCTTGGAGCAACGCTGCGTCCTGCCCTCGCGTTGTTGCTGGCTTACGGGGACTTGGGCTCGCAAGCCAGGTGCCCAATTCCACTGTCGTAGCCTCCAATCACAAGCCCACCTTGTTCCTCCAGTCCCGACCTGTCTACTACCACAACCTGCTTCTCACCTAGCTTTGATCGCAGACCATCTGCTCCGACTGCTTCTGGTGGTCCGCGCAACAAACTTAGTACTATTTACCTGGTCGACCGTCTGGCTTTTGCTGGCCCGTCGCCCTCTTGGTAGAGGTTATTCACGAGGTGTTTTTGCCCCTCTCCCCGCCTGCCGACAACAGCGATTGAATTGACGAGCATCATCATCATCATCACCACCACAACGGCGCCCTCACGCCAAGAGAGTGTTTTTCTACGCTGCCGCCGGCGTCGCCGAGGCGAGTCGTAAACAGCGCCAACGATTGTCAGCCTTGGTTCAATTGCAAATAACCGTTGACCAAGCAGTCTCATCATCGTCCACCGTCGCCATGGATCCCCAGTGGCAGTCGTACAGCGACTCGGCCAGTGCTCCGAGTAGGCACAACGGCAATGCCCAGCACCAGCAGATTCCGCGCGACCATGCACCATCCCAGCAGCGACAGAACCCCCCTCCAGCTGGGCCTGGATCCAGCTACAAGTACGATCAGCCACAGTATCATGGAGGCGCCCCGATAGGTGCAATCAGCGCCTCTGCTGGCTCGGTGCCATCCCCCATCACTTCCTCCCACTTGAGCGACGGCAATGGCGACATCCCCATGCACGATGCCCACGATGCTCATGCCGGGATCAAGTATCCTATGAGGCCCCATCACCAGTCTCATCCATCGGCAGGTCGCTCCTCAAACCTCCAATCTTCCCACGAGCCGTCCGCTGCCGCCCAACGCTACTCGCCCATGGACACGCTGTCGCCCTCTTCCCCATACGCGTCAAAACCACCCCAATATAACAACCCGCCACCCCAAAGACAGTCTCCTTCTAAGCAGGCCGATTATTCTCAGAGTCCTTACTACGGTGGCCGCCAGCAAGGCCAGCATCTGCCGCCTATTACCCCATACGCGTCAGCCTCCCAGAGCTACCCTTCATCAGCCGCCTCCAACCCCGAAGCACTCTTTGGAGCCGATCCAAAGTCACCACGCCGCCAAATGTCTGCAGCACCAGCACCTCGAGTCGCTGTTCCCGAGTTTAGAAAGGTGCGGGGGCCCTCTGATTTGCGACCCAAGACGAGCAATCAGCCGCCTTTCCGCCGAGCCAATCCTGAAGGAGGCTTCATTAGTGTAGGTCGACTACTTCAACGTTTTAGCAAAAGTACGCATTTTTGCTCACTCTTTTCTTCCAGCCTCTTCAAGCGCTCACGTCTCACCTCCCTGCGACCTACCGAATTTGCAATCCCGATTTCAAGTATGAGACATCGCGCAATCCTCGTCGAGTTTTAACAAAGCCAAGCAAGGGTGTCAAGAACGACGGGTACGACAACGAGGATAGCGACTACATCCTCTATGTTAACGATATTCTTGGTTCTGAGGAGGCAGGCCATAAGTAAGTATCGCATGGAACAACCCTAAATCACCTTGCGTTGCTCACAATATCTAGAAATCGATATTTGATTCTGGACGTTTTGGGCCAGGGCACGTTCGGACAGGTTGTCAAATGCCAAAACCTCAAAACACAGGAGGTAGTGGCCGTCAAGGTCATCAAGAACCGCACGGCTTATTTCAATCAGAGCATGATGGAAGTATCGGTTCTTGATTTGGTATGTCATATGCTCTGAGTGCTATTGGACTTCTGACTCTAATGCTAACACTCGCACCATAGCTAAACACCAAGCTTGATAAGAACGACGATCATCATCTTCTACGGCTAAAGGACACATTTATCCATAGACAGCATCTCTGTCTTGTGTTTGAGCTCCTCAGCGTAAACTTGTATGAGCTAATCAAACAAAACCAGTTCCGCGGCCTCAGCACCACGCTAGTCCGTGTCTTTGCCCAACAGTTGCTCAACGGATTAGCCCTTCTCAACAAGGCCCGTCTGATTCATTGCGATTTGAAACCCGAGAATATTCTGCTGAAGAATCTTGAGAGCCCCATCATCAAGATTATTGACTTTGGTTCCGCTTGCGATGAGCGACAGACAGTATACACATATATTCAGTCTAGGTTCTATCGCTCTCCCGAGGTTCTGCTCGGTCTTCCCTACTCTTCAGCCATCGACATGTGGTCCCTTGGTTGTATCGTTGTTGAGCTGTTCCTGGGCCTGCCGCTTTTCCCTGGATCCTCCGAATACAACCAAGTTTCGAGAATTGTCGAGATGTTGGGCAACCCCCCCAATTGGATGATGGAAATGGGCAAACAAGCCAACGAATTCTTCGAGAAGAGGCAAGACGAGTTTGGAAGAAGAAACTATCATCTGAAGAGTATGGAGCAGTACGCACGGGAACACAACAGCAAGGAGCAGCCTAGCAAGCGGTATTTCCAGGCCAACACTCTCCCGGAGATCATCAAATCGTACCCAATGCCCAGGAAGAACATGAAGCAAAGCGAGATCGACAGAGGTATGAAACTACCGGCTATTTCAACGATGAAGGCATCTTGATACTAACCCTACTCCAATAGAGATGAATAATCGCATCGCGTTCATCGACTTTGTACGAGGTTTACTTACAATCAACCCGTTGGAGAGATGGTCCCCCCAACAGGCCAAGCTTCATCCTTTCATTACCCAGCAGAAGTTCACCGGCCCGTTTGTTCCTCCAATGAACCTGAAGTCAAGCTCCCTCAATAGGTCACCTGCTCCTGGCACTCAGCAGCAGCAGCAAGCCGAGGCGCTTAGCAAGCAGCGTGCCCAGGCAGCACAAGCTCAAGCAAACTCAGCCGCACAGAGCCCGTATGGTCCCATGGGCAGTCAACAGTATCCTCAGTCTGGACATGCCCAACCACCCATGTATGGCAACAATTCGGTATATCCTCCTGGAGGCAACCACGCCAATGTGCCGCCATCGTACGGGTCACAACCCTCCCAGTATGGTCAAATGGTTATGACTCAACCTCCTCAACAAATGCAGGCTTCATCCCAGTATGCCAATATGCCTCAACCAAGCATGTATCAGCAAGGGGGTATGCGTCCTAACCGACAACGCGCGTCGACCATGGAACAGCAGCAGAGCGGGATTCCAGCAGCCATCCAGCGGGTTGCCAGTCACCTCGATCCGAGTCAGCCAATCCGCCTCCAGCCAAGCCCTGCTTACTATCCGCCACCAGCTGATGGCGGTGCTGCTGCGGCGGCGGCAGGATCCAGTCGGCGAACCAGCCGTGCTCAGCAGGGTGGCAGGGGTAACCGTGACTTTATCCGGAATTTGGAAGAACGAACTTTGGAGGAAGGTTTTATGGGAAATCAGAATCCATGGCATTGAATTTGAGGTATTTTACAGTATTTTTTTGACCCAATGGAGAAGGACATTTAAACTCGAGCTATTGGAGTTTAAGAGCAGATTGAAACTCACGTTCGGCGCGGTCTAGACGGAACGTTTCTGGGTATTAAGAAACCGTCATTTGAGGCATTCAATCCCAAAAATACGACTCGCGGTTCCGAGAATTATATACTGTGGCATGATTCTACGTGATGGCTGTGCTCCAGGCCCAGGCTAACCTGACGGCCTTCAACATAGCCATGCACTGGGTTGTCTGGAGCTGAGATCACATACTATCGTCATTCTTGGATTATGGTGAGACGATATATGTGGAATTGAGCGAGCCCGAGGCTGAACGTGACAGCCACGACGGTATTTACTATACACTCGATATACAGAACTTCAGGACTCGGAATCGTCGAAGCTGGTGGTCCCCTCCATGTTACATACCTCCACTCGCCATTTCGTTTCACTATAGTAAGGCGTGCCGCACTGATTGAATTCTTTTTCCCCCCTCCCCCACCGGCAGAAGCTTCCAAGAGGGAGGCCGAGACCCCATACTGCCCTGTGAGGATCAAAAGATTATAGATAGCGGTGACCAGCGGACACGAGGGGTGGCAAAATGTAGCATTGGTTGTAGATATGATACCTTTATTTGTTTTGATTTATCTTCTGTGCCGGATGACGACCACCCTTGCATAGCATCGTTTTCTCCCACCGTTCTTGTACAAATCGTTTTAAAATCTGACTTGACAACCCTTCAAAAGCATGGTTGGCTTTTTCTGATGCTCCCCCTCGTGCTAGAATCTTTCTATGTCGAAAATCAGAACTCACCCAGGAGCCACGGCACGTTTCTTCCTTATGTTACACCTTAACGCCAAATTAGCCGACCCGTTCTTTTTTTCTTCTTTTTCCGCTCTTAACCAGACTAGCCCCAACCCAATGTCCATTAGTGGCAGACGAGGCAAAACGCAAATGCAGCAGAAAGATATGATGACATGTCTGAAACCAGATGCTTGGTTCAGGAAGGAAATAAAATAAAACACAAATGGGTTGATTAGGCTCCGGGAGAGGAAGAAAATCCCCCGAGAGGAGTTGGTTCACCTTCTGCCCCGGTTTCTCTGGCTTCTCCCCTCGTTCCCGTTCAGAAGTCTATCGCTATAGAGCGGCTGCGAGGATTCGCTAAAGCCCAGTGACCCGTCAACAACCTGTCCATTCGTGTCGGCTTGGTTTGATGCAGGCTTGTTACCGCCAATCTTAGGATACACCTTGAGAAGTCGACCATCGGCCTAAATACCAGTAATGAGTCTCTGAAGTAAGCACTAGGTGGAAGGCCAGGGTAGCTGATCCATACCGTCTTGTTATTGAATGTCTCAATGACTCGGTCGCCGCCCTCCTTGGACGCAAACACCATCTCAGCAACGACAAATGGCTTTGTCTTGACGATTTTGCACGATTCCATGTGGCCGCCAAAGGGCGTCAAAACGCTCTCGATGTCTGCAGCCGTGGTTCCAGGAGCAAAGTTCTGGCCCACGACTGTGAAGGGCCCAGCGATACCGCGGATGGAAATGCCCTGAGAGCGGATGTTGACCTGCTTCTGGACGTTGACGTCGACATCCATGCGGTCAAGGGCGGCGGCGCGACGTGCGGTAGTCTTTTTGCTCGCCGCCTGGGGGGCAGTCTTCGATCCGGGTTTCGATATGCGGGAGCTGAGGGATGTGGACTTCTTGGGGGGGTTCACGGTGCTGTGGAGGTCGTGTGTCCATTCGCCGTTGACATCGCCCTTGGGTCTGGGGACTGCGTTCTTGCCACCAAGCGATGCGCGCTGGCACAGAAGGGCGATTGTGAGTAAAAGTAGATTCGACTGGATACGGCAGCGTAGGAACAATGGAATTGGGTACCTTGTTGACACTGATGCGACTCGCCAGGGAGCCGCTGCCGCTCTGCGCATTGAGCCTGGTGGGTGCGCTCTTGCGGCGGTTCTTGTCGAAGATCTTGGAGGCGAGTGCCTCGTTCTTATTGCGCTCGCGGGCTAGAGATTGCGAGAAATAGCAGCGGTTAGCAACTTGAAGGTAGCTAGACGCGTCGATCCAGGGCTAAAGCGCACCGTTGTTCACGAAAGTTTGGAGGTCGTTGGCGGGCTTGACCATGATGACGGAAATTGCAGAGTTGGTATCTGATCTCAAGGGAGTGTTGGTTCAACGGCGGTGCTTCGAGATGAAGCCGACCCAGGTAACTGGAGAGGAAATTCTAGTCGGGTCGCTAGTTTTTGGTCGGGAAAAGGTCGAATATCGAGTGTGGTTAAAGAATGCCTTGAGGTTAAGCTCCGACGATACTATTTGAATTGTTTGGTTTGGGACGAGTCGCGCAGCAACTTGCGGGTGGGTTATATACGCGTAGATCTCACAGGGGCGCGCGGCTAGATATCGCCCCCAGAAAATAAGTTATACTCACAGCTGTTTTACTAGTTACTGATGAAAGAAAATGAGGTAGAACTTATTGAAGACGAATAAATTAAATGCCATTGCTCTTTTTATTTTACTTTACCTACAACATCATGTTGGCTTGAACATTAATGAAGCAGGCCTTCCATTAAGTCTAGGGCCCCTCGGTGGATTCCGCGCTTGGCTAACCGATAAGATAAGGATTTTTTTCTAAAGAAAAGATATCGACATACAGGTCATAATGGACGTACATTTGGCTAGGTACGATACAATACCCATCACAACATGTTACCGAAGAAGAGCCTTTGGTCGTGCGCGGCTTGCCTGCGTACGCCCATTCTTGGACTCGAATATGGCCAGGCTCGACTTCTACCCGGCGGAAGCATCGTCTTCCCACGGCGCCGCTTCTTGACTACTCGGCCCATCGATACACCACGCGAACTTAAAGAGCTTCCTACGACGCCATCGATTGCGCAGAAGAGGGCGGCAGAGCGGCTCGGAAATATAGTTGACCAACAGATGAGGTATCTGAGAGGCAAGGACCCTTATAAGATTGGGCAATATGTGGAACAGGCGCTGAGAAGAAACGCCTTCGACGAGGCGCTGATGCTGGTGCAAAAGGTTGGCAGAGGGCAGCAGGTCGTCGTGGCGTGGAACCTTCTTATCGACTACCAATTCGGGAAACAAAGGATGAAAGAGGCCATGAAGCTGTTCAACGACGTTGGTCTTATCTTACCCTTGCTCGCCGACCCCTCCTCCAACTAACATCCTCGCAGATGAAGAAGCGTGGCCAACAGCCCAACTCAAGAACCTACACCGTCATTTTCCGGGGCCTAGCTAAACAGACCAACACTAAGCTTGCCGTTTCCGAGGCTGTCAAACAGTACAACTCGTTGATTAAGGGTGATCGCGTCGAGTCGAATTCTTTCCATCTTAATGCTGCGATCAATGTCTGCGCTAAGGCTGGGGATATGGACGCCTTGTTCCGCATCGTTGACACAATTAATGAATCCAGCCGAACGCCAGATGCTCTGACATATACCACAATTCTGAATGCCTTGCGTTTCAGTACCATGGATGAGATAAAGGATGCGGAGCCGGAGAAGAAAGCCGAATCGCTGCAAAAGCTTGTGAGTGGTGGCAAGGACATCTGGGCTGAAGTGATAGACAAGTGGTCCGATGGTGCCCTGAAGATTGATGAAGAGCTGGTGTGCGCCATGGGTCGTTTGCTACACATGTCCTTACCTCGAGGTAGCACCAACGAGGTTCTCGACCTTCTAACACAAACGATGCGCATACCGAATCTCGTCAAAAACCCAAATTCCGATGCTCACCAAGACGAGAAGATGCGAAACATTGCGGCAACCGGTTCAACTAAGCCAATACATGCCGCTTCACATGCAGCTTATGCGGTACCTGGACGCAAGACGTTATCTCTGGTCTTGACAGTTTTGGCTTCAACAAGGCAGAACACAGCAGGCATCAAGTACTGGAATCTTCTGGTCCGACATTACGGGATAGAACCCGACAACGATATTTGGTTCCGGCTGCTCGGTTTGCTCAAAGTAGCGAAAGCCAGCGCCCATGCCTCCAATACTTTGGACCTCATACCAGAACAAATCCTCAACCCCAGACATTGTCGCATTGCAATGGAAGCCTGCGTGCGCGACAATATCAACTTGAACGTGATAAAGAATAGCACGGTAGCCCTGGAAACGATGCTCAAGAAGCTGAAAATCCCCGATGTTGAAACTCTTCGCCTTCACCTGAGAGTCGCCCTGGTCAGCCACTTTCGCTTCCGTAAAATGGCTGCCGCCGGCAAGCTGGACGAAGCCAAACAGCTCTACGGTGTTCAGTTGACAGAGGTGTTACGTCGCCTCTGGGGCCCATATAAGAAGGTACACCATCACCATTTCGAAGTGATCAAACCCAAGGACAAAGAAAGGGAGGCGAGCGTGCTTGAAACCCAAAACGAGATTGTCACCTTTGCCAGGCAAATGTTCAGCGCATTCAATAAAGTTGTGAACGAGAAAATGCTACCCAACGACGACTTGGAGGAAGTGCGTCTCATTGCGTCAAAGCTCAATCGGGACATCCAGGACTTCTTCTCGAAACATGGCACCTCGCTTGCCCGCACTTCTCCAGTTGCAGATGAGAGCGCGGACGAAAACGGCGATGACAAGGCCTCTGGCCAAGATAAACAAGGCGCCGACTTCATCTGGGACACAATCAAATCTACCGAATTCAAGCAACAGCAAGAACTAAAGCAAAGCGCTCCTGCATATGGACGTGAATCATCACGCTCCCAAGAAACTTCTCGACGGAACTTCCGTGGGAGGAACGGTAGGTAAATGACGAACCATGTACGGCTTTAATTTCATGGACATCTGTATCAACTTGTATCACTAGAGCAGCCTCAGCCTTCAAAGGGTGCGAGCAAAGCATTGTACAATACTAAAGAACACTGAATGGGGCAAATGACGCATCTCTGGTTACGAAGCAATTAGAATTTATTAATACGGCAGTAGACACACAAGCAAGACCATAATGTCCCTTCCATTTTACCACCTGGTAGCAATATTGTATTGACATTTATCAGTGGCCTGGTAATCTTGGCCTGCAATGTCTTTAAACAAGTCGAAAAAAAGAATGGCCAAGTGAGCAGAAAGGCTTGTTTAATAACGTAGCTCACGCGATTTCAATTGTCCATCCGGATTCTTCATGGTATTGTGTCACTTCTGTCCAGCTAGATGTCTGGCATGTTTATCTCCGGACCCGAAACCTATGGGATTGATGATAGGCGTTTTTCAAAGATAGGAACGATGATATTATTCGCAACAGTCCCCAGGAGTGCCACAGGTGTTACCGCTCCAGTGTATTCCAAAGGGTGAGACAAAACCTCATGCTTGATTACTGAGGCGGACTCGATGTCGACAGACTTGGGATTGAAATCTGTCATCTCGGAAAATTTTGGCTCATCGCAATCCCATGGTGTTCGAAGCGGAATGGATGTTTCTAAGATTTTCTCAAGCCAGTCGATTGGAACCTTGGTTGAGTAAGAAAATCGGTACATGTTACTTGGGTTGGTTTCAGATGGAGTGTCAACTTGGTGAGGTTCTACACCTTGACTGTCGGAGCTCTTGCCATTCAAGCGGCGGAAACTCGCTGTAGAAGGGGAAAAGATGCGACGGTATCCACGAGCTGCCAGTTCGAAGGCTTTGTTTTGCGAGAATACTTCGTTGTTACGAATAACTGTAGCGGGTTCATTCTGATACTTGGTGTTGATGTCGTCGGCTGCTCGCTCAAGCCCATCACGGAAGGTTGATGAAGAAGTCAGATTGCCGCACGCGAGGCCACCCAATACCTCAAGCTGTGGAACTTTGATTTTCCCAGACTGGGAAGTGTTTGACTGGATGTTTGCCGTCTGGTCGGAATCGTCTGGAACCTTGGAGGGCGCATAAGACTGACCAGGGTCCTCTTCTTTTGTCCACACACATGCTTCGAAATCGGCTGATGATTTATCACTGCGAGATAACTTTGCTCTCACAGTTTGCATAACGTTGCCAAGACTCTTTCGACGGCGAGGCCAAACCGCAGCTCCTACGCAGAGAGAAGGTTAGCCACCAAGATTGTTCAATGTAAGTTAGAGAATAGAAGGGCAACAACCTCGGAGCTCTCGGGATACTGAGTTCCGTTCATTATGAACGTGTTTCGGGCCACCCGCATTCTCATTTGGTTCCAAAGAGTCGCCTAACAATCCCCCATTGCTGTGCTCGGGTTGCGGATGGGACGACACTTTCGGCAGTCGCCAGCTAGAGAACCTTTTGGAGACGAAACCTGAGGATCTACGACCCACAACCGGTCGATCTGATTTCAAAGAGCCAAAGAACATGATACAATCAATTGATGTGCGAGAATGGTTATGAATGAAGAAGCGACTCTGGCTGACCAAGGCCAAGTGATGAGCATAACAATGCAACCAGACGTTGAGAATAGCAGAAATTGTAAATGGCCTGATTTTGGACCTAGACAACCACAAATACATGAGAATAAGGAAGTTGCGATAGGAACACGACTACCTATGCAGGCAATCTGGAGCCTTCTTCCTGTCACACTCGGAAGGAGCGGGTTGGTTGTTTGGGAGAGCCACTTCCCACAGAAACTCCATCTCGCAACCTGGGTAAGTTAGCAAGTACATAGCACCTCCCTACGATCTGAGGTAAGGGCTAAAATATTTGACCAAACAAGTACTAGGTAAGGTAATTCACAATATTGGGGAAGTTGCCACAAATGAAACGTATAGCTTGGCCAATTGAATAGTCCCAGGTACTGAACACACTTGCTCATTGTACTCTACTTTGAGAAGAGAGATTGACAGAGCTCTGGTACCATAAAAATGCCATGTGCCAAACACAATCCCACGCAACAACGCGTTTGCGATGTGCTGCCAATTCTTTTGTGGCCTGTTGTGGCTTTGAGCAATGCTTGCTCTGGGCCTCAACGTTGTGACTCGGGGCTTCAGGACAGCCTGATGAGTTTAGCTTCTTGCTAAACCCTGAAACAAAGGCATATGAACAATAATTGGGATGGTTCCACGGGATACCATCTACCTAGGTGAGATCACTCGTCAATCGAGCTTTAAGAAATGCACAACGCTAGAAAGCTCCACATGTTCCTTGCAGACGTAACACTCTTTATTTTAGAGCAATGATCGCAAGAATAAGTATTCCAATAGCTCTGGTGCAAGTATCTGCATCATGTTTCTATCATATCTGTTCCCCGAGATAATAGTTGACAGAAGCGTTAGTCGAAGGTAGGTCTAAGGGAAGGCACACAGGCGACTGACATCAAACATGGCACACTTAGAACCTTTAGTAGTAACTTTCAACACAATATTAAATAATCAACCTGGCAATAAAAACAATATGAATCTAAGTATCAGAGAATAATTCATTATTTTCTTATTATTATGTTTAGTATTATTAATAAGAAGATTAAGTCCCTGCCTTACGTGAAAAGGGTTCAAGTGTGCCATGTTGTATTTCAGTCGCCTGGCATAGTCATGGCAACGCTGGCCCACTTCTTCGCACCCACACACATGCTCTGTCTGACGTATTCTTATCCCTAACGGGCGCTGAGCACTCCGTAATAGGCCTTAATTAATTGGCGTCGCGAACGCGACACCACCAGAAACGCGTCTTCCTATTCCAGAAGCGTGTTTTCTATCCCGACCTTAATTGCCACCCCTCCACTGTCCACCCACCACAACAGTTGATCAACCATTTCCACCCCTCCGAATTGAACGATATTTGATGCCCTTTCTTGTTTAGCTGGCTTGGTTCAATTCCCATGCGACATGTCTAAAGCCGACCACAAGGCGAGGCTCGCTGAGCTGCGAGCACTTCGCAAGTCCGGAAAGAAGGCGTTCGATAATTATCAAGTTGCAGAGGTCGATGATGTCTTCGACGAGGTGGACGAGGATGGCTACAAGAAGCTCGTTCGAGACCGTCTGAATCAGGATGACTTCGTCGTCGATGACAATGGCGAAGGCTACGCCGACGACGGCAGGGAAGATTGGGATCGTGTTCAGAGATACGACTCCGACAGCGAGAATGAGGAGCCTGTTGGTCGTGGCCGACCTAGCAAAGCTGGTATGTTATACAAAGCCATTTTTGCTGAACCAAGGAGGAGCCGTACTAAAGGGTATTTAGCCAAGAAAGCCCGTCAAGAAGAACAAGCCCAGCGTGATGCAAATGACAGAGACATCACAGAATACTTCACAAAAGGGGCTGGCAAGACCCAATCAAAGCCCAAGGTACGAGAATAGACACCAAACCCCGAAACCATGTGCCCTAGCTGACCTTTAACACAAGGTGATCAAATCCAAAGCAGACGATGATTTCCTTGCAGACCTACTAGGAGAGGTAGACACCAACATCCCTTCTCCCGCCCTTCGACACCCAAAGCCAGAACGATCTATCGAGCGTCGAAAAGCCAGGGATCTGTCGCCCGCTCCAGAACCCATCCGGAAGAAGACAAAGACTATCCACACACCATCAGCATCTTCACCAGGCCGAGTTGCCAACGATAGTGATGGGGAGGGTTTTCTACCCCCTCCAGTCGACGATGATCTTCCAGCCGCCCTCGATGCTGTAATGAGCGACCCTGCCCCGTCATCCCCAGCGGCCAAGGTTGCTCAACGAAAGGCCCAAATCAAAAAGGAACCCATAGAGGAAGAGGAAGAAGACGAGGATATGATGGAAGTTGCCCATGCTGGTTCAGTCAATGCTACGAGCGTAAACATAGCCGGGTCCAGGGCTGTGAAGAAGGTCCTTAAACAAGAGCCCGCCTCATCCCCCCTCCGTCCTTCCTCCGTCAAAACTGCTGAGGCGCTCGTGGACTCGTCGTCTTGGAACAGCCTAACGGATAAACTCAACGTGGTTAATGCGCCATCTGAAGTGCGAACCATTGGGAAAATGGACCACAAGGATGCAGTCGAGGCAGATGGTAGCCTGAACTTTTTCTGGACCGACTACACTGAAGTGAATGGCAGCTTGTGCTTGTTCGGCAAGGTTCTCAACAAAAAGACCAACTCTTATGTCAGTTGCTTTGTGAAAGTAGACAACATCTTGCGGAAGCTATACTTCCTTCCTCGCGAGCACCGAGTAAGCGGCGGCCAAGAAACTGACGACACAGTGAGCATCATGGATGTTTATAACGAAGTTGACGAAATTATGACGAAAATGAAAGTGGATATGTACAAGATCAAGGCTTGTACCAGAAAATATGCCTTCGAGCTACCTGATGTTCCCAAAGAGGCCCAGTATATGAAGTTGCTCTATCCTTATACCAGTAAGTTGAACTTGTCTCCTCACCTCCAATTCGTGTATCGCTAAACCATTTAGATTCACCGATTGATATGGAAACTCACGGGCAAACCTTTTCGCGTGTATTCGGAAGCAACACAGCGCTCTTCGAGCAGTTTGTTCTTTGGAAGAACATCATGGGGCCATGCTGGCTGAAGATTGAGGATGCCGATTTTGGTGCTTTGCATAACGCTTCCTATTGCAAGCTTGAAGTTCAGGCCTCACACCCCAATATGATCACTGTCAGCACCTCGACGAGCATGGAAGAACCCCCATTAACAGTAATGAGTCTTGCTTTGCGCACATGTTTCAACTCAACCAGCAACAAGCAGGAAATACTTGCAATCAGTGCAAGAATATACGAAAAGTTGTCGTTAAACGACACAACACCTGCAGAGAAGCTGCCCTGCCGAACCTTTACCATTATTCGCCCCAATGGCCAATCCTTCCCTATGGGATTTGAGCAGCTAGCCAAAAAGAGAAGCAAGGGTCCTATCTTTCTAAAGAGGCAGGAATCAGAGATTCTCAGCTTTTTCCTGGCCCAGGTTGACGTCGCAGATCCCGATGTCATCCTCGGTCATCAGTTGGAAGGTGTGGATTACAGCGTTCTCGTCAATCGCTTGCAAGAGAAGAAAACGCCTCAGTGGTCCAGACTGGGTAGATTTAGACGAACCAAATGGCCATCCTCTATCTCCAAGGTCGGTGGAAACGTCTTTGCTGAACGTCAGCTCATGTCTGGACGACTGCTATGCGATCTTGCCAATGACGCCGGCAGATCTGTCATGTTCAAGTGTCAATCTTGGAGCCTCACGGAGATGTGCAGCCTCTACTTGCCCGGAGATAACCATCGCCGCGAAATCGACAATGAGGTGGCACTGAACACCTGGGCAAAAGAAAAGCAAGGGTTAATGGACTACATCACCCACATGGAGGCTGACACACACTACATAGCTGCCCTCGCCGTTGGCGTCCAGATCCTTCCCCTGACGAAGATTCTCACCAACCTAGCAGGCAACTCCTGGGCTCGTACATTGACTGGAACACGAGCCGAACGAAACGAGTACATTTTGCTCCATGAATTCCACCGAAATAAGTACATTTGCCCCGACAAACAAACATTTCGCGGCCGTCAGAAAATGGAAGAAAATGGGGAAGATGACGCTGCCGACGGGAAGAAGAAAGACAAGTATAAAGGTGGTCTGGTTTTCGAACCCGAAAAGGGCCTGTATGACAAGTTTGTCCTGGTGATGGACTTCAACTCTCTTTATCCCTCCATCATTCGAGAGTTCAACATCTGCTTTACAACGGTAGAGCGAAAATCATTGGTAAGTACTGGCCAGTATTTCCTATAGGCATCCCTCATTCTTGTGCTAACAGTCAATTTTTCCAGCGAGGTGCCGATGAAGAAGAGGAAACTGTTCCTGATGTACCAGAGCAGCAAGACCTGGGCATCCTTCCCAGGCTGATTACCACTCTGGTTGACAGGCGTCGTTCTGTGAAGAATCTCATGAAGGACAAAAGTGCGACCGCCGAGCAACTCGCAACATGGGACATCAAGCAGCTGGCTTTGAAACTGACTGCAAACTCCATGTACGGTTGTTTAGGATACACAAAGTCGCGCTTTTATGCCCGCCCCCTTGCTGTATTGACAACATTCAAGGGCCGAGAGATTCTCCGAAGCACCAAGGAT